CAGAGAACAATTAGGAAGCGGGAACAACAGTGAGAAAAGATTGTGAGACTGGACATCAAGAAATCTCTGCAGATCAATCTGGCAGACGATCTTTGCGCTGCTGCCACTGTTTCTGATGCCATTACTATGCCGGCTGAAATAAACTGAAGCAGTGTGACTGACAGTGATGGCGAGATGCATCACATTCTGCAAACACCCCTTCACCACCTTTAAATTGCCAAGTGGACTGTTTCTGATAAGTGACTGTTTTCTGGCTTGAACATGGTGAGTGACTTCACTCAGCAACGGTCTGAAGGAAACTTTTTTTAACYCAAACACTTTGGGAAAATGTTAAAGTGAACTGTGAGGATATTTTTATGTTTTTTATTTGTTTATACCAATTTTAACAAAATTCACAGGTTGCTTTTATTTTTACACTGAATTACATCTACCTGCCCAAAGAAGGAATAGAGTAAATATGTTGCCATAAAGTAAGACATTTGCAGGTTTATCTCCTTTCTGGGGCTTTTCTGAGTGGAGTTTCCATATTAGGGCAGTTTTACAGACGTTCACATCAGATATTGAACACTTGTGCTACTCACTGTGTGAGATATTTGCATTAGACTTTAACACCACCTGTTGGAACCAACCCTCTTTGGCTTTTCTCAGTTTTTGTCCTAAACAAGCTCGACGGGCCCTGTACAGGGCCAGCAGATGGTGTCATTCATTGTTGTTTGCTAAAGTAGGTGTAAAACTTATTTTTCCCAATTTTTTTCTAAGTCCGTCACAAAAGGTGTCTTTAATGTTTTTAAAATGAGTCACCAAATCATTTTTGGATGAATATTTATGATTTTAGAGCTATATAAACATTTGTAAGTTACTTAAACCGTTGTGGACCGTTTCAGTATCAGGAAGTTCTCCGCATCTGTTGCTGTGCAAGTTTTGGTTCCATACCCCTCCCTTTGGTATCTTTGAAAAGACTCTCACGAATTCAGGGACATATCTTGACACTGTGTTACTCTTTGTTTGGTGACATGAAGTTTYTGRGTAACAGAGAGTATAAATAACAGCCCTCATGCGTAAAARGTTGAGGRGGAGTTAGGTTCCATTCAGTGATTTCATGGTGTGTACCATGGTAGATTTGATGATGCACAGTGTAAATGTAAAAAGAAAAGGTTATGTCATATGCAGAATGAGTCCTACAATAGAAATCAACACTTATATTAGACCAGATTCTCTTTTATAAAGTAAAAAAAAACATTTGGCACAGTTTTGGGTATATTTGGCTAAATTGTGCCAAAATGCCATTTCCGTTTGGCACACTGCTCACTAAAACCTTTGTGAAATGAATATAGTTCAGCTTATTCAGTCGTACTTTGCTACAATTTTTCTCAAGATGTAGATGTATAAATCTAAGGGCATTCCTGGGTTTTCACAAGAATTTTCATTGTGCTTTGCGCTGTTGATTTTAAAAAAAGTTTAGGTGAGGCTAAAAAAAAATACAGATTTTCTTTATTTAATCACACATAACTCAGGTACAGTAAGAGTTACAATAGTGGTTTCACTTAAGAAATCATCTTTAAGATCTTGCCTTTACAGAGGTACCAAGAGTTAGCATTTAGACCTTATAACTGTGGAGCCATTCTTGCTTTATTTTGCTGTGTATTTTAAGGTGGAAATTACCTCTAAAACCCCTCAGGGCTTAAGAGTATAGATTTTGACTCATTTAGAGGTAGCCTGGTTAAAACCTGTCCTTCACTTTGCTTCCTACAAGGGTCTGGACTTGATGCATAGAGAAGCAATTCTTGCAGGAGGCGTGGCCTCTGCTGAAGCATGTTGTGTGTGTTGTCGCTGTGAAGGAGGCTAAGCTAAGAAGCTAACCGGAAACAGCGTGTGCTGTAAAC